GGTTTTAGGTCGGTTCTAGGTCGGATTTTCAGGTCCAGGTTAAAATGCCCACGCCTAACCTGCACCATTGTTAAAACCTTAGATCATCGTAACTTACATAATAGCAACACCCAAATCAACCAAATAAACAATATCTACGCAAATAAACCTTCGCGAAGCGTGGACAATTCTCTAGTATTTCTACAAAATAAAAATAAAAAACTATTTTGTCCTATCGCTGTTATCATCTAGGCCTTTTCATGTATGTACATGCAATGTTAGTATTATCTATGATAGCAAAAATTTATGACAATCCTTGAAAATGAAATCTAAACAAGTTCACTTTTCTTCTTTGTTGTGTTCATTAATATATTATTATCATGTTCTATTCTATTTCATAATTAAGAAAGAGTTTTCTATTCGGTTTGTAATTATAATTTGTCATTTTATTTTGTTCTAACTATTGTTTCATATATGTAAATATTTGTGAAGTCTGATAAAAGAAAGCTGAATATTTGTAACGGTAAATAGCAGTCGGTATTTTTCTTTATTCTTACTTTTTTGACAAACTATAAGATTCTATATTTTCTTTAGTTTGAGATATATTTTTTTTTCTTTTATAACAGCAAAACATTTTAATTTATTTTTAACAATCTTCAATTTTTGTTTCTCTCCCTCTTGCTAATGCATCGATCTTAATCTATCTTAGGCTGTCAATCTTGATCCCTTCCATTGATCTTGATCTCCTCAGCTGTCGTTTTTTGTTCATCGCAGATTTGTCTTTGGACGCCACAGTCCCTCTGCCAATGTTTCGTAAACTCTCAACGTAGAAACTGACACTCTCATAAGCAAAACCTCAGGATTTGGAACCATTGTTTATATGCTTAGCGAAAGTGGTTGGATCCCTATGACTAACGGAGATAGCCATTTGCATCATGCTCAAGTTGTAGTGTTAGAGAATTCGACTCCGTAAATACAAATATGTTGTTACTCCTATTATTATAATTTTATCAAATATAATATTTCGATTTTCTTTCATACTGCAAAACAGAACAAAATTGCAAAATCAAAATCATCCATGCACTTGTAGATTCCACACTGCTTAGAGCAACCTTATGCATAGTTTCCTAAAAAGAGGTCCTCTGATAAATAATATTAATACTTTAAGAAAAAATCTCATAAAAACTTTCATTCACACTTTAAACCTTAATTTTTTTTCAATAGCACTTTAATCTTTCAAAGTGACATTTGACGTTTGTATCACAAAATTTTTTTAACTTAATTTATTTGTCCATCAAGTAAAACTGACATATTGATCAGGTAAAACCTGACATGTTAAACAGATAAATACGATGACTTGTCAATTTTTTTCCAATTATAATTATTTTTAAGAAATAAATAAAATTTATATATAAATTATTAAAATAAAAAAAATAAATGAAAATTTGGAAAAATAAATTAATATTCAGAAAATTAAACAAACAATCAAAAAATCAGAAATTATATATATATATATATATATATATATTAAAAATAAGATAAATAAAATAGAGAAAATTAAATAAAAATTCAGAAATTAAAAATAAATTAAATAAAAGTCACAAAAATTATAAAATTAAAAATAGTTTTTAAAATAAAATTACAAGATTATTTTTTTTAAAGAAAATTGATTCAAACCATCATCGTCAATAATGATATGTTCGAAATTTTTAGAGTCAGTGATGATATCTCAGGTTTTTTTAAAGGAATCTTCTAATTTTATGCGATTTTTCCAATAAAACTAATATATCATTCGATAACATTAAAATTTTCAAAAATATTACTGTTGACTATGATGGTTTCAAATAATTTATTAAAACATCATCTTGTAATTTAAAAAAAAAAAACATATTTCTGAATTTTCTAGTTCTTCTGAATTTTTATTTAATTTTTGATTTTTAAAAATTGTTGTTAAATTTTTATTTATTAAATAATTAATTTTGGGAAAAAAATGATACGTCATCGTTTTTACATGTTCAACAGGTCAATTTTTTATTTAATGAACAAGTAAGTCAAGTTGAAGGTTTTTTTTGTGATACAAATGTCACTTTGAAGTTTTTTAAAGTGCTAATGAAAAAACTTCAAATTTAAAGTGTTAGTGAATATCACTTTGAGGGTTTTTGGGTGAAATGCTGGAATACTCTTAATGAGGCAAAATTCATTATGTCATACTCTTGCTCATTCTCACATACTCCTCTCTATTCTGATACTCTCCATATGGGTGGTTAATGTCGAAAGTGTCCCTCCCTACTTGACCGAATTAATGTCCAATCAAAGACGGTCAAAAGCGGTCAAAATATAATCCTATGAATTATCCAAATCGGGAGTGATCTGTTTTTTCTCTCTCATCAGCTGGATTCGTTTCTTTCTTCTTCTTCGTCGTTATCATCGCTTAGGTTGGTTGAATTCGTCCGCTTAGATGCTGAATCATTGAGCTATTGATTCCGTTGATAGTATGTATCTTAAATCGTTCCTAACTCGTCATAACCCAATGTTTAGAATTCACCATACACGATCGATTTACAGAGATTCTAAATTACAATTCTAATTGGACTAGAGTAATTGAGGATCATGATGTGTGAATGGTCTGTATATTATGGAATTGGATAAATAACAATTGTAATCATAAGAAAAAGAAAAGATAGAACGTCGGGAATCCAAGCTGATAACTATTGAAACGAATTGAAGAGGACGAATAGCTAGGAAAATTTGGGAAAGTTAGGATAAGTTGAAAAAATTTGGTTACTGACAAAACCGTGTAACAAGGTATAACTTCGTATACCTAACATGCTATAATTGTCTAACCAGGAATAAACCAGGTATAACTATAGTGGTTAAATTTTTTTTTTATTGCAGATGAGTGTTTCTTCTACAAACATACACTTTGATTATGATGGACATATTCTAAGTCTGGAGATAATTATGAATGGCTTTCAACCGATAGTTGTTTGTATAGTATATCCTTTAGGACATCATCATTGGAGGAGATCACTTATTTGTTGTTGAAGGAGAGAATATGCAGGAAGATATGAATATATCCATTTACGAAGAGGATGAAATTTGGTCAAATACCACTGGTAGTGGGACCTAAGAGACAATCATATATTTTGGATGATGAAGATGTGTTTGTTTATCTAACATCGGTGGATAAAGAACAAATAAGAAGTATTTTGCATGTGGAGGAAAACCAAGAATTAGAAATAGCTCAAATAACCGAGCAATTATCGAGAGTTAAGAATGAAAGCTCATGTAGTAGGAACTATGGTGAGCGTTCAAGAGGAGCTGGAAAAGAAGATAATGTGGGTACTGGTTTGGAACATAAGGAACACAATGAACATCCCCACAAGAAATACAAGAGGAACGTTAAAAGGTGAGATTTGTCTTTTGTGCTGTCCAACTAAGTAAAACTTTATCCTTTACTAGTATGAGTACGATAGGTAGACTGAGTAATAGGATTGTAAATTTTAAACTTGTTACGAAAGTACTAAGATGGTATTTTATGAATTATTTTTAGGTTGTGTTGATTATGATTTTAGCGGAACAAAAAATAAATAAATCCCGTTGCGTATTAGTAATCATGATATCGGATTACACTGTCTTTTTATAAGTTTTTCTCATTTGAAATCTTACTAAGTAATGAAATCGAGTCTATGTATACATGAATAAATGAGAAATGAATCTAGTATACAGAACATAACTGGTATAACCATAAAACCAATCATTGTAATAGAATAAAACCAAGATAAATGGCAAAAATTATAAAGTACAACTTTTATGTTTTCTGTAAAACTGCATATTTGGTGAAACTTCAATCACGAAAATACTAGGCTAAAAATTTCCCGCCCACCAGCTTTTCGAATTTATAATTTACTCTTCCCCCCTTCCCAATTCAATTAGTACTAAAACCCTTAGTTTTGTGTTTTCACACACTCTCTAGATTTCACTTTCTCTCTCTTCCCTTTATCTTTGTTTCTCTCTATCTCTCTCTCAACCAAAATCCCCCAATGTCGAACCCAATTACGTCCACTTCATCTTCCATACCCGGTGGTCGAGGATGACGAGTAAGAACTCCGAGGATACCTAAGAGGTGTTGGTGCGGGGAGAGCATCACTGAGCTTATCTCCAAATCCGGTCTAAATCCATATCGCCGATATTATCGGTGTCTCGATTTTAGAAAAGAGGGTAACGTCCGTTTAGCTTTAGTTATCGAAGGGTTGTTCTCTTAAATATTTTGAACAAAATGTTGGAATGTTGTAGCTCGAGAACGACAAGCACATCTTCAAATGGGTTGACGAAGCTTTCACCGATGAGATTGAACAGTTGGAGTAACAAGTTCAAATGCTAGAATAAGAAATTCAATTGCTCAAAGCAACGACAACAATAAGTAGTGCAGGTCCCAAAATAATGCCTAAAATAATGATATCAGGATGTTGTGTTGTTAGTATCATCATTGTCGTTGTAGTTCTCGGTCGAATTATGATGAACAAGTGATTCCTAAGCTAGTGAATTTGTCAAACATTCTATTTTGTCTAAGTTTTTTGTAATTTATGTGAAGTTAAACATTATGTTTGTCTAAGTTTTTCCTAAGTTTCTCCTAATTTATACGAACTTAAACTACTACGAAGTATGGTCAACTGAAAAATTTCTCAAATGTTTACGATGTTGGACAATTGAGAAATTGAATCTAACACAAAATTTCACCTGGTTATACGAACACTAACTTTCAAGTTAAGTTGAACTACTAAGAAATTTGGTAAACTTAAAATTTTTTCAAATGTTTACGATGTTGGACAATTGAGAAATAAAACCTAACACAAATTTGACCTGGTTATACGAACACGGACTTCATGTTAACTTGAAGTTATTCTTAGGTTCAAGCACTTGGACAATTACAAAAGTTAAGAAACTCATTTTTAATACACATTAACGCAGTTCAACATCACAAACCAAGTTTCAGAAACACTAATACATTAGATAAAACCTTACAAAGTCCCAATAGATCCGTACTTCCGAACATAAGGGTCACTGTTATTGACCGATTGTTCCTCTAGCTCCGGCAAGCCCGGATTGAACCTGAAGTCAGATAAGTCCCCCTCGGTCTGAAGCCATTCTTCTATAGAACCAGAATAAGCTGTATAAATGAGTTTAAAGAAGGTTTTAGTCAACTAACACATTCAAACCTGAACACATAAGCATAAACTTCACTTACAGAAATAGTCACGGACCCTCCACATCTTAAGGACCACAATCACATGTCGACGATCTCCCCTATTTTCAAACCCTTTCCGGAAGATGTTAGCATGTTTCTTAGTTGCCACACATTTTATCTGACTCTCACTATGATGAATAAAACAAGGTGATTCAATTACATTAATGCAAATATTTTGTTTTGATCATATGTTACTTAATACTTACATGTTTTCCCTTATTTAAAACACCATCTTTGGTCCTTCAGGATCGTTGAAATGAGCTTCCGTCTTAAAGACGACTTCCAATTGTATCTACCAGATAAGTATATTTGATTCAGTTACTTACATATGAAATATATTTATTAGTTAGAATTCATACCTATGGAAAATTTTCTCTCCTTGTATCTCATGTGAGAGATTTCATGAATGCCTTTGAACTCAAAGTAAAGCTGATCATTAAGAGGATCGATAATATGGATTTGGGTATCGTCAGTAGCAGTTAGTGTGAATTTGGATTTTGCTGCCTTGAAACCTGAAAGGGCACGGCCAACTTCTACAATAAAGATTTCCACCCATTTGCCCTCTTGCTTCTCTAGGCCTCTAAACCCACCTCCATATATATCATAGATGGTCATCTCCATCTTGGTATCCTGCATAAATTAAGTTAAATGAGCGAGTTTGTATTTTGCATTGTTGTTATTAGAAACTTGAGAGATGATGATTTTGTACTTACATGTTCATTTGCTAGGACATAAACATGGTGTGGTCCTTTGCCGGTAACATAGGAATAGAAAGAATAGATCCTTATGATTTTCACTCTGAAACGCCAATGTTTGACCTTCTCATTATAGACAACTTCACCAAGAGTATTGTAGTGTTCCATATTTGAAAGGAAAGATGATGAATTCTTTCTTTGCGGTTAAATATTTTTAGATAAAAAGGAGACGATTTAACTTCACTTACTGCAGTGGAGTGGAGTAATTGAGGATTTCTTAAATTAAATGCAAATGTGATGATGATCTACACGGTTTGTAGTGTTGTGGGATTTAAATGAAGTGTAATGATGATCATGGGTGACTGTTAGTGAAAATTCGTGTCTTTCTTACTGAACTCAATTTGTTATGTTGGGGTAATAAATCGAAAAATTATGGGGTGAAGGAGAAAGAACCGTCTATCAAATCATTCTTAAATGGAAGAGTTACAACTTGTAGTTGGGGTAATAAATCATTATTACACAAATTGAATTACTCTTCATTTATTATCCCCTATATATTTTACTGAATAATATATTTATTTTTTAAAATTTTACATAGTTTCATATATTTAGATTATCAAAATTGTTACACTATCTAAATTGTTAAACGTTTTCTTAGTTTCATATATTTATACAATCTAACTAAGTGGTTTCACTTAGTTTTAAATAGTTATTTATTTTTATCATTTAAAGTTCTACAAAGTTTTAAATCTAACGCATGCAACTGCTGCAGTCAGAAAGTCGTGCCTTCTCGAGACCTCCATTAAATCACCCTTAACTGCCATGATAAATACAATCTTATCTCTTTTCCACTGTTGAGGATCATCGCTATTATAAAAGGGTTTATCATTTTGTTTAATCTTATCTCTTTCCATTTACGTGTTAAAACAAATATCTCTCACCATGTTGAATTCTAACTTGGCTTCTCTCCCTCCTTCTATGCTTCATAAGATTCTCTCTAAGGTAGCAACAAACCATATCCGGGACTTCGGTAGTGCATGAGTTGCATTCAGCCAAATTGGCAGAGAAGAATACTTCTACAAATCTGCAGATTTTATTCACTTCAATGACTGGATTGATGAAGTTAATGCTGTCAGAACATATAGACTTAAGTGCTACCAAGCCGGTAATCCACATGCCATCTACATGCGAGGTATGTATGAGTTCTTCGTCCTCCATTTACTTGATCAAGGAAGGGAAAAAAATCGTCTTGCTGGTGAGAGGGGATTTTTGTTGGCCAAGTACGTTGATGATATGTTCAACTTAGCATTTAGTGTTGATGATAGAGGACTGGTTCATAACTTTCCTACTTTTACAGGTGAGTTTACTGATCAGATGAATCACATGCTCGCTACTAAGGTATCCTCAGGTCATTGGGGTTACGAAAAACCACAGATCTTTATGTCTCTATTGGAAAAGATATATTCCAACATCAGTTATAATTGCTGGTGCTAGGAAATTATACCATGCAATCGTTGTTTCTGGCAGTGTGCAGCATGAGACTTCTGCAATGATATTCATTTGATGTTGCTCACTGGCCAATTGAAGATTAGAGATGAAGTATTTTCGTGTGTTTATAAGTTGTTTATAAGTACTTTATGTAAAATACATTTCCCTTAACTTAAGCTATAGTTTTTATTTATTTTAATTTCATGAAATATATCAGTAACATAATGCAAATGAATAACTATTATTCTATGTCTTAGATTAACTATAATCAAAGTTGAATCGATATGTAATCACTAAATATATCAATAACATATTGCAAATGTACATGATACAATGAAAATTAGTTGAAAGTTTACTAAGTTGTATAGTTACTACAAGAGTGAATTAGTTCAACTTAGATTATAGTTACACTTACACCAAGTTATATAATTACACAAAGTTATAGTAATGTTTCTGAAGTTATGGACACTCGAGATCCGAATTTTATGATTCGGGTCTGGATGGTCCGCGAAATACCTTTGGTTACCTTGTAATTATTCGAGTTTCTTTCGATGTTCTGATCTTTTAATAAATTTTCCTGGGGGTGAATTTCAGGCTGGAGTATTTGGAAATAAGATTTTTCCGACAGAGAAATTAGAACGTGAGTTTTTTCACTTAGAGGCAGTTTACCTGTTTTATTAACACTCAGAGACAGTTGTGGCTACTGAGACACTTTTTGTGTGAAAAGACTCAACTTGTCCTTTAACTAAACGTAACTACAGCTAGTTTCTAGTTTCCTTTTTTTGTTTTCTTTTCATTTATTTATTTGTTTGACTTTTAATTTTCTTTTTTCTCCACTCACCGTAAGTCATCTTCTTCCTTAACAAAAATTGTAATTTGTATTTTTCTTCGACCAACAACATCGGAATAATCTGTTTCTGATGTAGTCTTCAACTCCTTTGACTAGAAATAAGTAGTGATTGATTTCTTAGTAATTCTTTTGTTTGTTGAGTAACATCGGGCTATTAACAAACTCGACCCGGCGTGTTTATGGTTCATCTCGAAGCTCTACTCCTCGTCTTCCTTTGTTGTATCATTGTCACCACCGTTATTCCGTCGCGTCTACTTTCACCGACAGACGAACCACCGTTCTGTTAAATGAAGATTCACAGATCTAGTTTTTTGTTTAATTTTTACTTTTTTGCATTCTAAGTCCCTGTATTTTTTATTCTTCTAAATTTTACGCTAAACTTTTAGTTGTTTATGTAATTTTTACTTTTTGATTCTTCTCAACTTGAAGTCAAATTTTAAATATTTAGAATTTGTCCTCAAACTTGATCTACACTTTTAAATTGTGCACATCATACCTAAAATATGTAAAAAAAAAAATATAAAAATGCAATGAAAACAACTAACTAACTTAAATGAAGTAAAATGTGATATTAAAAATCAATAAAATCATAAATTATTATCATATTTCCATATATTTGTGTGTATATTATTTCCAAATATTCATATTTCCAAATATTCATGTGTATAATATGTACACCATATTTGATGTATACATGTACGCCGTGAACCTTTAATGTACACATGTACACTAACGAATGTACAAAACTTTACAGTATGTTGGGTATCTAACATGTATCTCAAACATATGTGGAAATGTAAATATCTGATAATATATAATATGTATAATGTACACAATAGCCTTTGTTGATAGTTAAAAACATATGTGCACATGTAAAATTGTTCTTTTGAAAGTTACCATTTCAAAATTGAAATAAATTACCATTTGAAGTTGAAATAGATTGATAAAAAATATTCCTAATTAAAAATAATTAGATAAAGATTAAAATTAAAATTAAAATGTACATTTTACAATTGGTCATGCATATATGGGTATGTGTACATGTGTACAATGAAAACATGTGAAAAGAGGTTATGTTTGTGCATGTGTACATATTCACATGTGTACATATGTACATATTCAAATGTGTACATCGTATACTAAATGATTTACAATGTACCATAACGACTCACATATACATCGATGTATACTAGTATGTTATCCATATATGTATGTATTACCTCTATTTACTCTATATATTTACTATAACTAAATATATATCTGGTTTACATAAACGTATGTGTTATTTTTGTTTCTTATGGTATATATGATATCGATTTGTGAAGCAATTTGATTAAAGTAAAAGTATTGAGGTAAATTTGTGAAGCAATTTGATCATATTAGAATTTTGAGGCATATTGTGAAAGAAACATGAAACTAGAGGATCAAAAGTGCAAAAAAGTGATACTCCTTCCTTGATGTTGCAGATCGCATTTCTCGACGGATCTCGTTAACGACAACGGAGAGTCGGCTACGACAGACCAGAGACACGGTGAAGGCTGATAACATGATTTGGAAGTGGAGAGGTCGTGGGCATAAGACGTGAAAAAGTTAATGTTGACAAGACGTGACGAAGAATAATGACTACCGGTGGGGGACGAGACCTCGCATCGATAGAATCTTTCAACGAGATAGTGGATTCTTGGGGTTCTAGAGGATCCAGCTACAGGGCATCTTGGAAGGAGGAGATGAGCACAGAGAGGAGGAGACAAAGACACCATGGTTGAAGCTTTAATCGTTCTCTGGTATGGACATTATTGTGTACATGACCTTTACACCATCTTTGAAAATATAGCTTAACATATCTCAAAAGATAGACATAATAATAGAGATCATAATTGATTGAATTTTTTTTGAAAAAAAACTATGAAAACAGATTTAATTTTACTAAAAATGGTTGAGAACGTAAGAGGAAGAAGATGAAGAAGAAAGAGACGTTGATGTATTTTGTTTTGTTTCTTGGTCAGAGCTTATATTAAATAAAGTGAACACATATATTAAATTTAATTAAAATAATAGACAGGTGAACTAATTTACTTTGTTTGTGACAAGGAAATGGACTTGGTTAGGAAAAACTACCCTAATAGTGACAACTGCCTTTTTATGTTAATAAAATCTTGAAACTGCTCTGAGTGTAATATTTTTTTAGAACATTTGATTCAAGGTTTTTCTTTGCGATTTTCCCAATATTTTAATGCAATTTGTTTGTTTTATTAAATTATAACTAAATACCTAGAGGAATAAAGTTTTGCTAACTTCAAAAATAAAGTTGCTTTTGAAAATGTTCCTAGGTGATGCAGTAGAATGTAAAATCGTCTGTACTATTTCCAATAGTTTGGTGCAGCATAATTACTCAGCTTTAAAATAAAACAAATTAGGCAAAAGAATGAACTTAATCATATCTAAAAATGAGAACTATTTAAATGGATAAATAAATAATTGGACACTATTACTATTTAAGGCCATATATATATACAATTGATTGCGTCTGAAGATCAAAAGCCTCGACTGCATCTACATTATATATATAATCCGGTGTATGTGTGCGTAAGAGAGAGAGTTTTTTTTGAGAGAGAAAGAGTTTCAGATTTACATGTAAGAAGAAGAAGGAAGAGGACAAAGCAAAGCCAAATTCCTCCTACATTTTGCGATTCAATATCTCTGTTGTAACGCCATTACCACGCACAGCTGGAAACATCTCTCTCTCTCTCTCTTCTCGGGTTAAGGGAGAGAGAAAGAGAAGCGACATTGTCTTTGATCACAGGTCTCGTCATAAATTTTAAAAAATTTCATGTGTGCTTTTGTCTTCTTCTGTCTCTAGATAACATCGATGCAACACAACAAAAAGTGTCAACTTTTTCTTAGAAAATAATACTTTTTTTTCTTTCTTTCTGATGCGTTCTTCAACGTGTTAGACCCTAACGAAAAGTCGTTTTGTTTACATGTGCGATGTGTCTTTCAGCTTCTGTGTTTCTCTCTACCACCATCGTGACTCTCTGCTCATAACCATCTTCTCTACATAACAAACCTTGATGTTGAATTGCTCTTTCTTCCTCAAAAATATCATTAATCTAATTGATTATGGGTTTCACCACAACCCTCTTCAGAGAGCTTCGTGATTTACCGCTTGTGGAAGTCTCTTCGATCTCCATCAATTTGTCTCTCTTCTTAGTGTTTATCATCGACATCTCTGCAAGACGCTTACTTCTCTGCCTCCGTCGTGGCCATTTCTTCAAACATGACTCTGTACGAAACTCTAGTTCCGTCAATGTCGGAGACACCCGTGAGGTCGAAGTCACCACTGGCTACAAATTCTCGGTTCTGTGCTGTTTCTTTGTCTTAATCGTGCAAGTTTCAGTTTTGGTTTTAGATGTTGTCGGAGTAACTAAGGAAAGAAACGAGATTTGTGTTATTTTCTCGCCGGTTACACAGATTCTAGCTTGGTTAGTGTTATGCGCATCAGTTGTTCAATGTAGTTACACCTCTGCGGAAAAGTTCCCTTTACTGTTAAGGCTATGGTGGGTTGTGGGCTTCTTAATCTGTTTATGGGCTTTGTTCATTGACTCCAGAGAGCTTGTAGTGAACGGCTCAAATCATTTGTCTTCCCACGTTGTTGGCAACTTTGTTTCAGCTCCGGCCCTGGCTTTCCTCTGCTTCCTTGCTCTGAGAGGTCAGTCAAGTCTTCGAGTCATTACGGATTCACATCTTATTGAGCCTTTACTTGTCGAACAAGAAGAAGAAAAAGCTGGGTGTCTTAATGTTACTTGTTATAGTGACGCCGGGTTGTTCAGCCTCGCTACGCTTTCGTGGCTGAATCCTCTTCTCTCTCTTGGCGCCAAGAGGCCATTGGATCTCACGGACATTCCTCTCCTCGCTCCCAAAGACCGGGCAAAGACCAACTACAAAATCTTGAAGTTTAACTGGGAGAAGTTAAAGGCTGAGAATCCCTCAAAATCACCTTCTCTTGCTTGGGCGGTCTTGAAGTCGTTTTGGAAAGAAGCGGCTTGTAATGCAGTCTTTGCTGGCTTGAACACTCTTGTTTCTTACGTGGGTCCTTATCTGGTGAATGACTTTGTTAATTATCTGGGTGGGAAAGAGACTTACCCTCATGAAGGTTACATCCTCGCTGGTATCTTCTTTGCGGCCAAGCTCGCAGAGACTTTAACAACTCGGCAGTGGTATCTCGGTGTGGATATCTTGGGGATGCATGTGCGGTCAGCTCTAACGGCTATGGTGTACAGAAAAGGCCTAAAACTTTTGAGTATAACTAAGCAGAATCACACGAGGGGCGAAATTGTGAACTACATGGCCGTTGATGTCCAGAGAGTAGGTGACTACTCTTGGTACCTTCATGATATGTGGATGCTTCCTCTACAGATTGTACTTGCTCTTGGGATCTTGTACAGGAGTGTGGGCGTGGCGGCTGTAGCCACGTTGGTGGCCACAGTTTTCTCTATTCTCGCCACTATCCCATTGGCCAAAGTTCAAGAGGACTATCAAGACAAACTGATGTCTGCTAAAGATGAGGGAATGAGAAAGACTTCCGAGTGTTTGAGGAACATGAGGATTCTGAAGCTGCAGGCTTGGGAGGATCGGTACAGGGTCGTGCTTGAGGGAATGAGGAGCACAGAGTTCAAGTGGCTTCGAAAGGCTTTATACTCCCAAGCGTTTATCACGTTTATATTCTGGAGTTCGCCTATATTTGTAGCTGCAATCACGTTTGCTACGGCTATAGGCTTAGGAACTCAGCTCACTGCAGGAGGTGTTCTTTCAGCGCTTGCAACTTTCAGGATTCTTCAGGAGCCGCTTAGGAATTTTCCTGATCTGGTGTCAATGATGGCTCAGACTAAAGTGTCTCTTGATCGAATATCTGGATTTCTGCTAGAGGAAGAGCTCCAGGGAGATGCCACGATAATCCTTCCTCAAGGTGTGTCAGACACATCTGTAGAGATCAAAGACGGTTGTTTCTCTTGGGATCCTTCGTGGGTACGGCCAACTTTGTTTGATATTCATCTAAACGTTAAGAGAGGAATGCGAGTAGCTGTCTGCGGAGTCGTTGGTTCAGGAAAATCAAGTTTTCTTTCTTGTATACTTGGAGAAATCCCTAAAATCTCCGGTGAAGTAAGTGATCAATTCAACAACTTTCAGAACATGCGTCTGTCTTCACTATTTTTCAAGCCTAATTCACGAGTTGTACACTGAAATGCACAGGTCAGAGTATGCGGTAGTGCTGCTTATGTTTCACAATCCGCATGGATCCAGTCTGGCAATATAGAAGAAAATATTCTATTTGGCAGTCCAATGGATAAGGCCAAGTACAAGAACGTTATACACGCTTGCTCACTGAAACGGGACTTGGAGCTCTTCTCACATGGCGATCAGACCATTATCGGTGACAGAGGCATAAACCTCAGTGGTGGTCAGAAGCAGAGAGTTCAACTAGCTAGAGCGCTTTACCAAGATGCTGATGTTTATCTCCTCGACCATCCTTTTAGCGCTGTCGATGCTCACACAAGCTCCGAACTCTTCAAGGTACACTTTCTCTTTTCTACTTCTTTCCAAATAAACAAACAACTACCTTGCATAAATGTGTCTCCCCATATAAAAGATTGAGTTTGCGTATATACAGGAATACATATTGACGGCTCTGGCAGACAAGACTGTGATATTTGTAACTCATCAAGTCGAGTTTCTTCCTACCACGGATCTTATATTGGTGAGGACTTCTGCTAAAATCGTATACCAAGAGCTGTTTTAATGTTAAGACGCAGAGAAAAGTATATAATACCAAGAAAGCACTTCATGAAATTTTATGTTAATCTGCAGGTCCTTAGGGATGGCCAAATTATACAGTCAGGTAAGTATGAGGAACTGCTACAAGCAGGAACGGATTTCTCATCTCTTGTGTCTGCTCATCATGAAGCTATTGACGCAATGGACATTCCAAGCCATTCATCAGAGGATTCGGACAGCCATCATGTGCTAGACCAGTCACTACCACACAATCCAAAATCCAACGCTTCCTCGAGCAATATTGAGATTCTGGCCAAGGAGGTCCAAGAAGGGCCATCAGGCTCTAACCAGAAAGCCACCAAAGAGAAAAAAAAAAAAAGCAAAACGGCTGAGGAAGAAACAACTGGTTCAAGAAGAGGAACGTGTCCGGGGACGAATCAGTATGAAGGTGTATTGGTCATATATGGCTGCAGCCTATAAAGGATTGTTGATACCACTCATAATCATTGCGCAAACTCTGTTTCAGTTCCTTCAGATTGCAAGTAACTGGTGGATGGCCTGGGCAAATCCGCAAACAGAGGGAGACCAAGCTAAAGTGAGCTCCACGGTCCTTCTCCTTGTATTTATTGCGCTAGCATTTGGTAGCTCAGTATTTATCTTTGTCCGAGCTATTCTGGTCGCCACATTCGGCCTTGTAGCTGCTCAGAAGCTGTTTCTGAACATGCTCAGGAGTGTTTTCCGCGCGCCAATGTCGTTTTTCGACTCGACTCCTGCTGGAAGGATCTTAAATCGGGTGGGTTCTCTTTTAAAAATTTATTAAAAACATGACTATGACATCTTCTCTTCATGATGTTCTTTCTCATTGCTATTATGCACTTTTTTAGGTGTCCATTGATCAAAGCGTGGTGGATCTTGATATTCCTTTTAGGCTCGGAGGATTTGCATCAACAACAATAAAGCTCATTGGCATTGTTGGTGTGATGACAAACGTTACATGGCAAGTGTCTCTTCTTGTAATTCCAACTGGCATTGCTTGCTTGTGGATGCAGGTGATTTCTGGTTAATTATCTGAAGATTCGTTTAATGATACTTTAAAGAATATAACAAATTCAATATGTGAACAGCATATATGACTTTTATCTCTTTGTATAAACGTTTTAACGGCAAAGTTTCTTTTCACTTGAAAACGCATAAATACTACATGGCTTCGTCTAGAGAGCTGGTTCGGATTGTGAGCATACAGAAATCTCCAATCATCCATCTTTTCGGTGAGTCAATCGCAGGTGCAGCAACAATCAGAGGATTTGGCCAAGAAAAGCGTTTCATGAAGAGAAACCTCTATTTACTGGACTCCTTTGCCCGCCCTTTCTTTTGCAGCATCGCTGCTATAGAGTGGCTCTGTTTACGCATGGAACTGCTTTCCACTTTCGTCTTTGCCTTCTGCATGCTCCTGCTCGTTAGCTTTCCACATGGAACAATCGATCCAAGCAAGTTCTCTCTTTCCTCTTTATTTCTCCCTGTCGTTAGAAAACTTTTTATCATCTTTATTGAGTTCAGAATATACCTTTGTATAGGCATGGCTGGCCTTGCAGTAACGTATGGTCTTAATTTAAACGCTCGCCTTTCCCGGTGGATACTTAGCTTTTGTAAACTCGAGAACAAAATCATCTCCATCGAAAGAATCTATCAGTATAGTCAGATTCCCAGTGAAGCCCCTACGTTCATCGAGGAAGCTCACCCTCCTCCCTCGTGGCCAGAAAAGGGAACCATTGAGATCAACAATTTGAAGGTGCATTCGAATTGTTCTCTTGTTGAACTTCTCGCATAGCATTTATTCATCATCCTCCTTCTTTGTTTAAAGGTTCGATATGGAGAGAATCTACCTACTGTACTCCACGGAATCAACTGTGTGTTCCCTGGTGGCAAGAAGATTGGGATTGTGGGGCGCACAGGAAGTGGCAAATCAACTCTGATCCAAGCGCTATTCAGGCTGATAGAGCCATATGCAGGACAAATAATCATTGATGGCATTGATATCTCCTCCATTGGCCTTCACGATCTCCGTGGCCGTCTCAGCATCATTCCCCAGGACCCCACCTTGTTTGAAGGTACTATCCGAGGAAACCTCGACCCTCTCGAAGAACACACTGATCAAGAAGTTTGGCAGGTAGAAATCTTCTGATGGTTCATTCGGTATTCGAAACCATTTTGATTCTTAATGTGTTGAGATCCTGCTTTTTTTTTCTTTTTTGTTCGGCAGGCTCTAGATAAGTCACAATTGGGGGATATAGTCCGTGCAAAAGACCAGAAGCTCGATACTCCAGGTACATAGCCAATGCTTCCGTGATGCTTCCGCCACAAATCTTGTGGGAGATTCAGAAGGAAAAAAAAACGCTGATGTGATTGGTTGATTAAAATTTTTGGTGCAGTGTTAGAAAATGGAGATAACTGGAGTGTGGGGCAGAGGCAGCTGGTGTCTCTTGGTCGTGCATTGCTTAAACAAGCGAGAATTCTTGTGCTTGATGAAGCAACTGCTTCGGTTGACTCAGCCACTGATAATCTCATCCAGAAGATTTTGAGAACAGAGTTTGGAGACTGCACGGTCTGCACTATCGCACATCGGATCCCGACTGTGATCGATAGTGACATGGTTCTGGTTCTAAGCGATGGTACATACATTCACAAAAAGAAGATTCTCTGTTTACTTGAGAAACGAATACTTAAAACACATCTTTAAAACTTTTGTGATTATTTGCAGGTCTTGTTGCGGAATGCGACACGCCAACACGACTTCTAGAGGATAAATCTTCGATGTTCCTTCGACTGGTGACAGAATACTCCTCGAGATCGAGTGGCATACCTGACTTCTGATCAGGACCACAAGTGAAAAGGAATCTTCTTCTCCATGCTGCTGGGACAATGCTGCAAATCGAAAATCTGTCTGGAGAAAACACAGGGCTCAAGATCCTGTCAATGCGACTAATAAAGACCAAGAACACCAATGTTTTCGGGACCGAGCAGCAGATTTAAAGATCCAGGTCGCATGCATTTTTGTTTAGTTTAAACGTTGTTTAGTTTAGGTTTCTGTTGTATGCTGAGTCAGTTGTTTAGACGCTGATTCTTTCTTGTCTTGAATTATAGGATACAGTGAGTCAAATTTGTTCAGTTTTGCGTTCCATGCTGTTACTTCATGTTTAGTTTACGGTTTCAAATCAGACGTCTTTTCGTTCATTCTATCTTGCGTGGAACTTGGCATGAGATTTGAGTAGTCGGTTCCCTTCCGGCTGAAATCTATTAGGTAAATATATTTTGTACCTGTGCGGAATTTGACTTGGTTAAATGAGAGTAATCTAAACATAAAAGCACCAACCATATGGGTTTAGTTTGGTCAAAATTTAACAAAGCCTAGTTGTTGCAGCCGACTCACAACCGCGTAGGATTCAGCTCACCAAGAATGTAAGGTTTTATTCTCATGGCCAGGCCTAAGAATTATAGGATCTAAGGTGATTTTTTAAAATAATTTCACCTAAATTTTATTTTTACGGATTTCGAGCCTAAAATATTTTTTTAGGAGATCTATATACTATATGTAAATTTCTTCCAAAAATCTAAGGGTTCAAAACAATATTTCATTCGGACTGGTCCAAGGCCGGTCCTGATTATTCTTTATACTACCTTACACAAGGAAACAACAAGTATCTCTTCTAACATGTAATTTTCACTCTCTTTTTTGCTGTAGATTATTGGATTAACCCTAATCATGGCTTTAATACCATTTATGTGAAATTAAACTTTGCTAAATGGAAATAATCCAAACACAAAAAGGAACACAAGCAATTTGTTCATTCAGCACAAAGACTCAGACCGCTACCTATAAGGATGGATTTTGTATCCTTCAACCTCCATTATTTATGAGAATTACAAAATCTTATTCTCTATATTTTAAGAATAAGCTTTAAAGAAATAATGGTCAGGGGCGGACCCACATACAAAGTGGATGTGGCGTGCCCCATGCTACTTTTATATATTTTTTGTGTAAATATATAGGCAGAGAGAAGTACATAGCGTTTTTTGTCTTACAAACTAAAGTGTGGCCCAAACAGTTCAAGATGGAGCCATTAGTTACGTTTTTGTTCTTTAATTTTTCTACACATTTTAAATATTTATCCATAATATATATTTTTTTTTACTGCCTACAACTATTCTTTTTTATAATTGGATTATTTGTTTTATACAAAATACTTTAAAAATCATAGTTTACTAAAATTTAACTTTTTACAATTTTTGTGAAATTTATTTTTAGTACTTTAGACTAAAATAAAAACTAAAATAAACAAATGTTTTTTAAAATGAAATTACAATACATAATTATACAATATTACTAAAAATAATATTTAAATTACATAAAATATTTATTTATTCTATTCATTTTTTTTTAAAAAAAGTTAATGATTAATGTTCTTAAAACTATAATTTAATTTATTAAAATGTATTTAATATATAAAAATTATATTGTGTTTCGTATTAAATTGTTTTCTAGATCCACCCCTGACAAGTGATTTGTTTGGCTTAGGTTAGAGAGAATTTAGTTGATATGGTCAGTGGTGAGTGGTGACACGGTTTGCCCATTTGCCTTCCTAAACCGAGTTTGAACAATAGTTGCTATTTTCGTTAATATCCAGCATTTTCAAATATTGATAACGGTTTAATCGGATATCATATCCGTGACAAGTAAATGTCAGAACTGAAACAGTACGCACAACTTTTGATATTAAAATCTATCAGATAAATAACTCAAATCCGAATTGGTTTATTTTGGATCGGTTCTGGTTCGAGTATTTTGTTCCACTTTTATGCCCGGAGCGACATAACGTCCTCATACAGATTCCAACACATGGGTTTTACAACATAGAGAGGACCAAAATCTTATCCTTGGGCCAGGCCCATCTACCTGTATCATCGCGGCAGCAACAAATCCCTCCTTTCTCTTTCTCATATCTGTGTTTTGTTGTCTCTCGATTGGTCGTGTGAGTGAGGACGATGATGCAAGCAGTTTCCAGGAGATTAGTCCAACGGCCTCTCGCCGGAGAAACTTCGATCTGTTCATCTTCTTCTCTCCGATCGCTCTATGGAGTCTCTAATCACCGTTAAGTATCCACGATTTGACTTAATCCCATTCGCATTTTCTAGGGTTCCTTAATGAGATAATATGGTTTTCTGATACAGTGAATGGAAGTGATAATCGTCGCTACTCGTCTTCCCTCGCTACCAAGGGCGTGGGACACCTCGCTCGCAAGGGTACTGGTGGCAGATCTTCCGTCAGGTATCTCTCTAATAGAGGGTTTTGGTTTCCTGGAAAAATGTTATTGGTTTATTTAGGATAACGCAGGTTTAGTCTGTTCATCGAATAAGTTGGCTTTATGGATACATTTAGTTAGGGGGTTTTCAGTAGTATAATGAAAAATCTTGATTTCTCTTTTGCTTTGCCAGTGGCATTGTAGCTACGGTGTTTGGAGCCACTGGGTTTCTTGGTCGTTATCTTGTGCAGCAGCTTGGTGAGTTTGGTTTAACATTGTTATTACCCACCACCCGGTTATATCAATCTTGTTCTTCCTCTACACTTTCTTTGGTTTTCTAATTAATTGCAAATAAATTGCTCCTTCCAGCCAAAATGGGATCACAAGTGCTAGTTCCTTTCCGAGGCTCTGAGGACAATCCTCGCCATCTCAAGCTGATGGGAGATTTAGGGCAGGTTATGTATTTTTCTTTTTTGTTTAACACAATGCTTTTTAGGGTATGTCACAAAGCACACATTTTCGAATATTTTTGATGTTTTCCTTTTATATACCAGGTAGTACCAATGAAATTTGATCCAAGAGATGAAGACTCGATTAAGGCTGTCATGGCAAAGGCTAATGTCGTTATCAATCTTATTGGTAACTTAGTTTTTCTACATCTTTTAAGAAAGCAACACTCTTCTTTTACCTTTTGGATCATATCTATTCTAATCCTCAGGAAGAGAGTACGAGACCAGAAATTTCAGTTTCGAAGAGGTGAATCATCACATGGCCGAGAAACTTGCATTGGTATGTGTTTGAGTCCTGACAAGTTCTCTCCAGAAACTCTGGTGAAGATGTTTCAATTTTCTTACTCATGAGATTGTTGTGTACTGCTGAAATGAGCTCCATATTTCTATACTCCAGGGTGATACGGTCCGCTGTGGAATGCTCTTTTGGTTATGTCTCATTAGATTGGTGGATTTGTTGTTTCAGGTGGCCAAGGAACATGGTGGGATAATGAGATTTATTCAAGTTTCTTGTCTGGGAGCTTCTGTGTCATCTCCCTCAAGAATGCAGAGGGCAAAAGCTGCTGCTGAGGAAGCTGTCTTGAGTGCGCTGCCTGAGGTAAACTTATCCCAGCTTGTGGCTTACAGAACGATCTTTTCTGCATTCATCATCCTGATATTTGATTCACTATTGCTGTGGCTCTACTTATTGTCAGATTTAAGGTAGATCATATCGTTCTTTTCTTGTGTTGAACTGGAAATACAGTATATGATTCTATGATGCATATTTGTTATCAGCCTGCTGCTTCTAATCAGGAACTGACGTATGTTTGTTTCGTAGGCGACAGTCATGAGACCTGCGACCATGATTGGTACAGAGGACAGAATATTGAACCCCTGGGCAATGTTCGTTAAAAAATATGGTTTCCTTCCACTCATAGGTGGTGGGACCAACAAGTATGTCCCAAACCTTTGTCTAATTCTTTCATCGGCTCATAGCAACTTACAGTGGCCATGATCCATTTCTTTCCCTAACCATAACTTCATTGCAGATTCCAGCCCGTATATGTGGTTGATGTTGCTGCTGCAATCGTTGCAGCTCTAAAAGATGATGGCTCCAGCATGGGGAAAACCTATGAATTGGGTGGTCCCGATGTCTTTACCCCTCATGATTTGGTAAATTCATATTGCTCTTCATTCTCTCTGTCACTGTGGCAGCTCGTTAGGCCTAATTATCAAGTTTTTTTCTTGCAGGCAGAGATCATGTTTGATATGATTCGTGAATGGCCTCGATATGTGAAGCTTCCGTTTCCAATTGCTAAGGTAATAAATCAACCGTTCACGGTTTAGAGTAGAAACTCAATTGATTTTTATGTGCTCATTTGTCAGAGTACGCGTATCTGAAGCTAACTAGAACTACAGAAGCCTAGATTGTTCAGTACTCTTTGTTTTATTTTTCAAATGATACTAATTTCATTATGTCACAATCTGGTATAGGCAATGGCGGGTCCTCGGGATTTCATGGTGAACAAAGTCCCGTTCCCTCTACCCTCACCTCAGATCTTCAATCTGGATCAAATCAATGCGCTTACAACCGATACACTTGTATCTGACAAGGGTTAGTCATTTATCCACAGAAGTTAAATGAGTTCTCTTTCATGAGCTGTTTGAGTCTCACTCCTTTGTTATTCAACTCAATGGCTATTTTCAGCCTTGACGTTTCAGGATTTGGACCTTGTCCCTCATAAATTGAAAGGATATCCAGTCGAGTTTCTTATCCAGTACCGCAAGGGTGGTCCTAATTTCGGTTCTACTGTAAGTGAAAAGATACCAACAGACTTCTACAATTGATGCTGCTTCTACTCAAAGGTCGTAATCCTGGACTAATTTTATTCATGCAAGTGTCACATTGAAATCGTGGAAACTAGATTTGGTATTTTGATCCCTTCCATTTTCTTGTGTCAATAATAAAAGGTTTCCCCTTCTCTTTGTTGTTTTCTGGAAAGGAAAAAAATAATAATAACCCGTCAACATGATTATATAAGTTAAAGAGGGGACGTTATCAGTCTTGATGGGGAGATTTATTCCCCTAGGATTATTCAATTTTCAAACTTTATGTGCTGCTTTGCTCTTCAGTGTTTGAGTGTTGAGTATAACCAACCCGATGCGCTTTCGTCTTTGCATGTATTCCATATAGCTCTTGAGTATAACTAAAGCCCTGGGAAAATCCTTTTACATGGTTAAGAGGGCATTTCAATAATGAATCTTGATTAATTATAGAAATCGTAGAATATAGCACTTTGCTTCTAGTTGTGGAAAAGAAGTGAAGAATTATAGGAAACCTCAAGAACCAAGCAACAACGCATATAAGAGCTAAATGTCATGACAGCCGGGGAATAGGACAAGACTCATTTTTTGCGTTATCAAAAAAAAAATGGAAGGCGAAGAAGACGATTATCCCGGGCCTGAATCCTTCGCCGAGGGAATCAACCTGAACGGGAGAAATGTCGGGGCTATGATGCTGGCGCCTAGGGATGTAGACGTAGCAAGTCAGAGTGGTTGCAGGATCAACATATACGTGAACAGCAATGTTCAAGCTACTTGTGGGTCGGCTCTTATTGGTAGCAAGGTTAAGCTAAGAGATCCTGGTGTTCATCTCCACATCGAAGACGTTAAAATGCCCCGCGAAGAAGACGGATCTAGACAGAAAGAGATGAGGTTGATTAAGGTTGGGTTATGTTTGGTCTGTCTCTTTAACGTCTCTTTAGGACTCCTCTTGCTCTCCTCTTGGCTCCGGAAGGAAACGGAGTCCATATAGATATCTCCCCATCCACCGCTGTTCATGGTAAGAAGAACGACATGGTCTGTGATTGTTTCTTCGTATAGTCACCTACTTAAGATGTAAATATTTAGACTATTCTGAAACAGTTGATGTCTACATCTACAAGGGTAAAAGAAACACATATGTACTGTTGTAGTGTTGTCAGGGCCGGCCCTGAGAAATAGAGGGCCTAAGGCGATTTTCAAACGGTTTCACCTAAAAAAATTTTTTTTACATATTCGGGGGCCTAAAAAATTTTTTTGGGGGCCCTTTTACATGTAATTTTTTAAAAAAAATTTAGGGGCCCAAGGCGAATGTTTCATCCGGCTTGGCCCAGGACCGGCCCTGAGTGTTGTATATTATTTTTTTTATGTTTTCTCTAGATTGATACGATGGTTGATGTTATATTCCAATCATGTAAATTCAGTAGTATGAGGCTACCGAATTCTAAGCTGTAAGTGCAACGTAACAATCAAAATCTCAGCTACGGGATTATAATTATTGATCATTAGAGGAATTAAAAACTTATCTCAGTTGAGGTATATTTTTCTAAATATATATTTGCCCATCCAACCACTAGATGATTATGGTTTCATTTGTTATATAATTTATTTAAGAATCTTTCAGGAAGTATATGTCATTTACAAAGTTGAGCCAATATTTAATCCAGTACTTTTGCAATCACCCTTGCATGTCCACCAATTGTAACAAATAATTGAAGCATCAAAAGTTTTTCTTTTATTGCGGGAAGAAAGTGAATGCTTTGCCATTACTATTATCATTAATTTATTATAAAAAAATAATAAATATGTTTGTTGCAAGCAGTAGTACTTGATGGTGCTTTTTTTTTTGAGCAAACACTGGGGAGCACAGAGTTCACCCACTTCCACATGCCACGTTTGTCTCTTGTAAAGTTTATGTTTTTTTTTAAAAGGAACGCGAGGGTTGTTTGCATGGTTTCGGTTGGGTAATCGGGGTCCCAATCGAATTTTGGTCAAGTTTATTTGGGTTTCGGATTTTCGGGTTCATAAATTTTAGCCCCATTCAAATATTATAAAAATTTAGATCGGATTCGGTTTGATTTTAGTCGGGTTCGGTTCGGATTTATTAACATGTCCAAGATCCGGTTAAATCCAAAATAGTTTCAGTTTCAAATACTAATCGGGTTATCGATTCTAAATATACTAATTTATACTCAATTAAACTCACTATATTTTCAATTTTTTTATTAAATTTGTATATTTAGCTTTTACAAACCATATTGTTCTCCTTCGAAATAATATTGTGAAACTCGTCTATCAACCATATAAGATTTGTCACTAAACTATATGTGACAACACAGTAAACATATCATGATGAATGATAAACCAAAATCTTGTATGAAAAAAAAATCATACATGATGAAACATAAAAAGTTAAAGCTAACAACTAACAAATCTATAAACGTAAGAAGTAATATTTAAACTTTAACAAAAAAAATTATTTAAAACTTCAAACAAATTTATTCGTACTTTAACTTCAAATGTAATGTCAATCATAAACATTAGTATTAACCAAATAACACTATATATTAGACTAAATATTTGAGTTAAGTATTCATATCCTAACTAATTATTGTAGGTACTCAATAATATATTAATGGGTTTTGGAAAAATATTAGAGATTTGGATTGGGTATGATACAAGTTTTTTTGGAATTTTAAAGTTTCGGGTTCTTTTGGATATCCATTTAAGTTTGGGTTCGGTTTGGGTAAAACCCATAATGCAAAATATCAAAAAACAAGATCCATTCGGTACTTAAATCAGGTTCGGATCAGTTCGGTTTCTTTTTATCGGATCGGGTTCGGATCAGGTTTGATTCAGATTTTTGGGTTTGTTTTTTTTCCCAACCCTACTTTCTAGATTTTAGCTTTTGTTATCTGGATCTTGGTTTTTAGATTTTAATTTCTAGTTTTGAGTTTTTGATTTTCTTATAGATTTTAGGTTTTCAAAAGACTTGAATGTAATATTGGTTTTTGTTTTTTCAAACTAAAATAAGTTATTGATAATAAAATATTTGTAAAACAACAAAATACAAATTATTATTATTAGCAAAAAAATAATAAAAAAAAAGATTATAAAAAGTTTAAAACACATAAAATTATGTAATTCAAATATTTTAACATAAAACTAATAGCTAGATTTTAAATAAAACAAAATTACAATGTAATAATTTTTCAATAACTATAACTAGGAAAATTAATTAACTTTATATAAATTTATAGTATCAAAATATTAGTAATAAAATTAATCTACCAAAAAAATTGTTTTGTGATATCTATTCATGTGTGTTTAGGATAGTGTAGCTTTTATAAAGTACTCCCTCTGTTTCATTATAAGTGTCACTTTACAGCTGTGCACACGGATTAAGAAAATAATTAATTTTACATATTTCCTATATAAAAACACAATTACCTATACATCTAACCATATTTTAACCAATATAAAAACTAATTGCATAATAAAATTAAGAAATTTTGCATTGAAAACCGAAAACGACACTTATTTTGTAACGCAAAAAAATCTCTACAACGACACTTAATATGAAACGGAGGGAGTATATGTTTTCTAAAATTAATAATTTTTGAAAAAGTTATAAAATAAAATAATTATTAGAACATATGATTTACTATAAAATTATAAATAGTACTAAATATTACCACATAAAATAGGCACTTTTAAAAACTAACTAAAACAAATTACATATATTTTGAGAAGCATATATAATTTATATAATTCAAAATTATAAATTAAAATAAGAGAGAAACTTTTAAAATAAAAATAATCACTCTAATAAATATATAATACTCATAAAAAATTAATTAACTTTTGTTTGAGGTTTGTGGTACAAAATATCCCCTATATATTAATTGAGAAACATTTGAAAAATTGTAACCTCAATTTTATAATAATTAAAAAAGATCACATGCTTACGTGGCACTCAATTAGGTAGTCAATTACATTCAATTGAAAAATAAGTAGGTACACATTCGATTTTTATATGTCACTAGATATATTTGTTGGTCAAACTATATGATATGATATTTATGAAAGAAGCATTTATGATTGTCCTGCTAGATATAATTACTATTTTATTTTCTTCCCTTAAATAAAAGTTACGGAATTACCATAAATGACAAATATATATATATGAAAATTAATGTTTCTAATAATAAATATTTGATAACAATTTGTATCTCCTCCATCATTTTTTTAATTTTATATTATTAAAATAAATCAAACAATCAAATTAGCTATAAAATTAAACTTTAGATTTTTTTCGTATATGTTATATTTTGAATTTAAAAAACCAAGAATAAATGACTAAAACTATTAAAATTATTATGTTAAAAATTAATGATCAATAGTTTAACATTTTTATTATAAAAAGATACACATATTTTAAAACCATATGAGTAAAAAGTATCATTCAATAAAAAAAAAAAATATAGATTAAACTATATACCATATAAGATTACATACTTATTTTAATTTCAAAAATTTCAGTGAGTTTTCAAGAACATTTATAAATTATAAACATATTAATTTTTTCACAAATTTTTTGTTATCAATGATTTAAATATATTAGTTCTTTTTTTTTTAATTTTCTATTTTTTAAAGATATTAACACAATCGATAATATGGTTTTTTGGTATATACCATACAAACCGAATGTATGTGATTTTATAAAAACCGTAAGATTTGGATATGGTTTGATTTATAATCGATTAAACTGAAACATGTAAATATGTATATCTATTTGTTACATGAGTTGAACTATAATTATGATTTGTAAATCACTTGAATCACTTGAAATATAATTAACTAACAATTTAATGCAACTGNATGTGATTTTATAAAAACCGTAAGATTTGGATATGGTTTGATTTATAATCGATTAAACTGAAACATGTAAATATGTATATCTATTTGTTACATGAGTTGAACTATAATTATGATTTGTAAATCACTTGAATCACTTGAAATATAATTAACTAACAATTTAATGCAACTGAGGCTTCTTATTTTCTTCGTCTTTTTTTTTATCTTTTTTCTTTTTTTTAATAAAAACTAAATTGAAGTAAAAATTATAAATTTAATGGACAACAATTAGTTGAAATTCTTTACAATTTTTTCTTAATCTTTAAACAAACAGTGTTGTGTTCAATCGAAGACATATTAATTTGATGAACACTAAATATGGAAGAATATAAAAACTTTTCTTTCATGCTCCTGTTTTGTTTTTATTTTTATTTTCAAAATTTAGAGATTTGATATTAATTCTAGATTTGATCATTTTATTAGATCATAGAAGCCTTTTTTGTTTTTTATTCTTTTAGTTAAATATATAATATTTTTTTTAGTAAATGACTTTTTGAGAATATGACTCTAAATATGATCATATTATTTATTTTTATAATATATAATATGATTTCAAACTAAATAATGATGTATTTTGATATAAAATTGAATAAACTGAAAACCAATATATAAACCAAATCAAAATGAAGTAAATATGGATTTAGAATAGTAGTTATATTTTAATAACCAAAATATTGAAACCCTATAACCAGATTGAACATCCTTAATCTAGATGAAACCGAACTTTTGTTTCATTTTTCAAAACATAATAAAATAATAACTTCATCCCGCGCAAAGCAAGGATCTTATCCTAGTTAGTTATTATATCATGAATTTATCTCACCTAAGAAAACTCCAAAGTTTGAGTTGTGGAGAATATTATATGTAAATCATTTGTTCATGCAGTTTTTTGTAATTGTAGATGTGATTACTTTATATATAAATTTATTTAATGTATTGGAAACAGATGAAAACACTCATAGGACTTTTGATAAAAAAAAACAATCATAGGACTTAGAGCATCTCCAAAAGGACACTCTATTTTAGAGTTTGCAAAACTCTATATATGAAGTTTGTAGGTGTTATACTCCAAAAACAAAACTTCAAACCAAACTTCAAAACTATTTGTATTTTATATTATGGTCCTTATATTTCTCATAACTAGTTAAAATTCATGTAATTTTTATAAATAACTAACACATATATAAATATATTACAGCAATATTAAATGATAAAATGTTACACTAAAATATGAAATTATTAATAGAAATATATAATTAAATATTCAACTATAAATAAAATACCACATTAACTCTAGTAATATTGTTTTTGTCTAGCTTTAATTTAACTATTTTAAATCTTATCTTGTTGTTTTAAAAAAATAAAAAATATGTGTAAAATTTAAATTTATAAAAAAAAATTGAAATATTTATGAGATAGGAATTTGTAAGAGTTAAAATGATAAAACCATAAAATATATAAGAATTATAAATATAATGTATAATTGTAAGGACCTAAATGCAAATAAAATATGAAACTTCAAATTTGAAGATTTGAGTAGTGACACTCTATATTTGAAGTTTCACTACTCAAAACTTCAAATTTGAAGTTTTAGAGTTCCTTTTTGGAGAACCAAAAACTTCATATTTAAAATTATAGAGTGTCTTTTGGAGATATTCTTAGGAAAAACCCATAAAATATGATTTTTGATTTTATGTACGGAATGTTTAAAGAGATGAAAATCTAATTCCCCTAAAAATAGGGAATCTAATTTTCTTAGATCTTAATTAGGTGAAAATTTGAAAACTAGATTTTGGAAAAAAAATAAATCTAGAAACTATTTTAGAATCTATAAACAGTTAAATTTCGAAGTCTGTTTGTTATTTATGACTATGATGAGTTAGAGATCAAAATAAAATCTTCAATTTAGTTATTTGTGCAATTTAAATTTTTTGACGTACTTACTAATTACTATTATCACGTAGTTGGCTGGTTGGACATTATGATGAAATTTTGGTCCCAATGAGGAAAAGAATGCCATTGAATAAAAATATTTTTACTAAACTATTTTATACACTCAGAGCAGGATTTGAGATTCCAATGAGTAATTTTTCTTTTTTTTCAAAGTTTGAGGGTTTATATCAAACCTTCAAAACTTTTGGAGGTATATGCTAATGTTCATTGGCTAATGCCATCCGGCCGTGTATAGTTTTTCTTCTTTTTTTTTGAAAAACCGTGTATAGACTTAAATCCATTCTTTTCCTAATAAACAATTACACTGATTTGTCCCCGCTAACTATATTTAAGCAGAGTGGTAAATCATGTACCCATCGAAATACTTGTAGTTAGTGAGGAAAAAAAAGTTTGATTGCGGCTTAACTTGAAGTAATCATGTTAGAACGTGTTATTCGGTTTAGTTTGCCATCCTATCAATCACAACGTTACACGTGGAATAAATCCCACTCCTTCTTCGTCGTGACTCGGAAGCACGTTACGAGCGAAGAGGTTGTGTCAAAGGGGTCCAAAGAAGCCCGAAGGAGTTATAAAGTTGACGTCATCGACCCTTGTAGCAGAAAAATAAAATACGTGGCAAGGTCCCACTGGTCACCGACAACTAGAAGAAGAAATGACGGCGCAGATTTAGCTGTCCAGACTAACGTGCGCTCTCCCTATTTCCCCTCTCTCCATGATGGTGATGAGACCAACTCAACTCAAGAACAAGTCAAAAGCCACTTATTCTTCAAAATCTCAAAACAACTTCTTCTTCCCTTTCAGACATCTCTAGATCTCACTTCCTTGTCTGGAGGATCAAATAGTCACCTTCTTCTCCGTCTCTCGCGGATCATTGTCGGTACTATTCTTACATCTGCTTCTTTCCGATCAAAGCTTAGATCTTTTTTGTTCTACAACTTGGATTTAGCTCCAATC